TTGAACACCATTCAGAAATAGCAGAGAGTGATTTGTTGAGCGAATAGTGATCTTGGTCATTTCTAATTTCTCTATAAATGATACCGTCATCTGCGAATAACTTTATTTTACAGTCTATATTAGTAGATATGTCATTGATATACATGAGAAATAACAAGGGCCCAAGCACGGAACCCTGGGGCACTCCTGACATGACTGGTACAATATTTGATGCAATGTTTTCGACAACAAGCTGAGACCTATTAGATAAAAACTCACGAACCCAAGCAACAATTTCTCCGTCCCCGATAATGTTTTGTAGTTTAACGATTAGCTTGGTGTGGCAAACGCAATCAAATGCTTTTGAAAAGTCAAGTAAGATTATGTCCGTTTGGCTGTGATTGTCAATACCTAGCGCAAGATCGTATATAACCTCAGTCAGCTGCGCCGTGGTTGATAAACCCCTACGAAATCCATGCTGGTTGGGGGACAGGATGCCCTCGTTTTCGAAAAAAATTGCTCAATGTTTTAAGACTATTGCTCGAATAGTTTGCGTACTATGCTCATTAAAGATATCGGTCTGAAATTGGATTCAATGGATTTATCTCCCAATTTATAAATTGGAATAATTTTAGCTATTTTCTAATCTTCTGGTAGTCTTGATGTTGAAAGTGATTTACGGACAATACTGCCGAGATATCTGCTACACCATTCTGCGTATTTTTCAGAAATTGGTTAGGTATATTATCCGGACCACACACTTTCTTAGTATTTAGAGCAAGCCAAAGATTACGAATACCAGTGTCTGTGATAACAAGAGGGTCCATCACAGACACCACGCGTGGAACCGATTCCGGCATGACGCCACTATCTCTTGTAAAAACTGAATGAAAGAACTGGTTATATCTGTTGGCTTTATCTAATTTTTCAAGTGACGATAGTTGAGTGGTGAGCATGTTCTTTTGGCGAAAGTGGTTCCAAAATCTTTCTGGATTACTTTTGAGAAAGCTAGGGAGTACAGTATTGAAATAGTGTTGTTTGACTTCCTTGGATTTTTGTATAAAGTTTTTTGCGGCAAGCGCAAGTCTGGCGGTGCTAACTAAGTCATTTCCGGCAGCCTTGTTAACTTTCCGTAATCTTTTGCGTTGGCGCTTTGCGTGTATTACTTCACGAGAAACCCACGGGTTATCTTTTAATGTCTTTTTCAGTTTGATGAGAACAAAATTTGTTGTACAGTGTGACACTATGTCTTTAAAGCGCAACCAGACAGCATTTACATCAGTGAAAGAATCTGAGGCCACTGCCAAAAACTCTTGGTATTCATTAGCTAGATAGGTTTGTATGCGGTCGTCGTCAGCTTTGTCGAAATTCATTATAGTTTGGGCAGCAGTTTGTACTGATATTTTATAATTCTAGAGGTAAAATACACATCGGAATATTATGGTCAGATATTCCTTTTATTACCTCAATCTTCACCTGTTCTAAGAGAAAATTGCTACTTAGTAAAATGAGGTCGAGTATACTCTGACACTCGCTTTGCTCTCTTGTGGGGCTTTCCATGATTTGGCAAAGGTTAAAGTTTAACATCATGTCGAGAAGGGTTTCTGAAGCCTTTGATTTGTACTGCATAGTAGACCAATTAAAGTCTGGAAGGTTAAAGTCACCCATGAGAATGACGCGGCTGTTTCGAGCATGCTGCTGCAAATACTTTTGTATCACAATAATGCATTCATGGCCACATGCGGGACTTAGATACCGCCAACGACCATGCTTGTGCCATTTGCATTAATCTTACAAAAAACTGCCTCAGCATCAGTTACCTCTGGCAGAATGACCAGTGGGATTGATTTCTTTATAGCTAAGGCTACGCCTCCACCACGTGATTGCCTGTCTTTCCGAAAGAGTACATAGTTTGGGGGAGTAATTTCATCACTCGAGACGGGCGGGGATAACCATGTTTCAGTCATTGCTACTATATCTGGTTCACGATCGAGCAATAAGTTTTCAAATGGCTGTACCTTATTTAAGATACTTCGAGCGTTTATGTATAGCAGAGTTATTTTTTCTTGAGCTGGTTTTGCCAAGTTCCTGGATGGTACGCATCCTTTTTTCTTTCTTCTACGCTCTCGTACTTTTTTGAGCTATTTTTTCATGCTTTCTTATTTCAACTTTGTCATTCTTTTCGACATCCCAGATGTAAACACGGTTATTAATGAACAGCTTGTTGTACACTAACGACACCTTGTCTTTGTTTTCATGGTTTTGCTTAGCACTGTCCCAGAGTTTCTTGCGGGTTTCTCTAAGTTATCGTGAGAAGTCTTCTTCTATCGAATAATCCGTATTTTTCAGCTTGAAACCGTTTTTGAGTATAGCATTTTTACTTCTTTCGTCAAGTAAATTAGGTATGACTGGCCTCGTCTTGTTTGGTCCTCTTCTTCCTAAGCGATGTATGCGCTCGATGGCCACAGGTTCGAGTTCAAGGGTTTCTGTGATTCCCTCGTTTACGACCTCTGCAAGCGCTTCGCTAGTTTCACCTTCCGCTTCTGGTATACTATAAACTGTAGATTAGGTTTGACCTGCTGCGGTTTTCTAGGTCATCTATTCTCGCTTTGAGGCTTTTAATTACTTTATTCATGCCATCTATTTGTTCTTGGCATGCAAGGACTTCAGCTTCAAGTTTCGCAGTGACATCAAGCTTGCAATCTATATCTACTAGACGCTTTTCTTTGATATCTTTAATGTCCGAAGCTATTTCGGTAAGTTGTGTGGCGATTTCCTTCAAGTCAGGACCATGGTTGTTTTCAATATCTCCACCCATCAGCAGTAGCTGCCTAAGAGATGTCATGCACAATTCATACACAGCACTACACTGCCATTGGCACAGCAATACCAACAAGAAACGGTCACTTGAGCGGATGCATTTTCCAAACTGCTTTCTCACCTACAAAATGTAGGTGAAGGGAAAACTTGAACCCCGCATGTCGACAGTACCGCCGTGCCCAGTGACAGATGGTCCCCCGTGGAGCAGATATATGGCAGGCGGTGCAGACGCAGGGTGGCACTCTACAGCAGGTAAGTAGGTGCATGTGCCGGTGGGCTGATGCAGCTGATAGTCCAAGATCGGTGTTGGCATCGTCGATGCATGGTTGTTCCGTGCTTGCTGGTCCAGCGCAGTCGCAGCAGCCCCGGCAGTGCCGGGGGCGCACATCGCCTGAGCCGATCAGCAGGCCGAAGACGAACTGCAAAATGTAGGCAAAGGGACAATTTGGGAACCGCATGTTGACGGTACCGCCGTGCCCAGTTTCTCTGGGAACACATACAACGCACACAGGCCCTATGAAAACCTATGCAAACTGACCACAAGTGCTCAGGCGCCATTGTGTAGCAGCGATGACAATGCATCTGACTCCTCTGATGGCAGTGCTAGTGCTGCATATGTGGTTTCCATTTCATGTGATTACAACGTACAGACAATCTTTGTTCCTGTTTTCACTTTCATTTGGCTTTTTTACGGCCCCCTTCCCTTGCATTCCCTCCTCTAGCCAAGCTCTTGTGCTCTTTTGTTCTCTACTGTACTCCTGTTGGAGAACTGCACAACTAGAATACGAATGGACGAACTTATTTTGTTGCTTTCCTTGCTGCTAAAGCTGACTCTTTCTTCACCTACTGGTTAGGCGTAGGGAGTTACCAGCTTTATGTGTGGACCTTTTGCACTCATCTCGCTTTCTCCCTCCATGTAGCAATTCGATTTCGGTTTGCTTTGAGTCTTTGTGCTAAGAAGTTTTTTTTTTTTTTTTCATTTTGCTTTCTCTAGTTTGCCTGAATATGCCCATAAAGTTTGTTGCCCAGACTTCCTGTGGTTGTTGGTCGCTGCGAGAGTTCATCATGACAGAAGAGGCCAGTTAAGTGGTTCATCTTAAGCAGATTTTTTTTGCGTTGAGTCTACGAGAAACCAAACAAACATTCCTGTGTTGTTCATCTTAAGTAAGAATTTGTCTCAACAGAGTTCGCCATAAAGGGAGTTTACTGTACTTGTAATGTAAATGTGAAGAAATAAAAGTTGACCAAAAAATAACTTGCCATGGGCAGGCACTCAACCAACGACGTTTGAATAAGGTGCCCAATGTTCTAACACTGAGCTATGGTGGTGGTAGTCCCTCTGTTTACTTTATAGGGTATATATGTGCATTTAAACGGGGGAGTGCCAATCAGTGCCACCTGTTGTCCTTATGGCGAGTGTGGAGCACTCTTTATCGGACTGTTTGGGGCCACGTAGCACATGAACTTATGACGAGCTGGCTATTGACCAGTAATCCCTTGCATACTACCTGAAGTCATCGAGTTTGCCAGGGACCATTTATATGCACATATATACCCTATAAAGCGGACAAAGGAATGACTGCTGTTTTAGCTCAGTAGTCAAGCATTATTCGAAGCAGCACATCGCTTCGAATAATGCTCGACCATTGAGCTACAACAGCAGTCATTCCGCCGTTCGCTTTGATCACTTCAAATAGTGGTCTCCGCCAGTGGCAAGTGATATCTTCGTGCACTTTTTTTGCTTTCTTGACGTTTACATTATACTTAATACTAACAATGCCCTATACTTTACTTGGCATCATTGTTTGTTAGTTCCAGTAATATTGTGTCCAACAAAGAAAACAGGTTGTTGCACTTCTTTCCGGTGTCAATACATGTCGCTTTGGGAAAAGCTCATGTAGTGCACTCAGGAAAGGTTTTGTACATGAAAGGTTTGCTACCTTGATGCCTGCATTGCCACAGGCATCAATGTAGCAGAGCGCAGCTCTCGATTGTATATCGGCATGGTTGTACGTTTTTTGGTGTCTCCACCTGCATGCATGAGCTAGGAGGTTTTTCATTACTAGAATGATTTCATCTGATCAAACTACTTGTCAACACATCGTCTTGCCTTGTCTCTTTCCAAGGGCTCGCCTCTTTCTGAGTCAAATTTTCTACCCTTTGTGCGTGCCACAAGAGACGATTGTCAAATGTCTGCCCAGGACGAGTTCCACTCCCGCCTGCGCTTTGTTCGTCGTGGACTGGTGGCCATGGCATCGGGCGGGGCCGACGACAATGGCAGCCAGTTCTTTTTCACCTTGGGCGCCTGTCCTGACTTGCAGAACAAGCACACCATTTTTGGGAAGGTACATAGTGTAGCAATTGCTGCAGCGAGAGAAAACCTGTTGTATTAAATAAAGCGGAATTTCAGTGAGAAAAATGCACTGCCTGCATTACTGTAAAAGCAGTAGATAACATTGCCCAAAAGAAAATGGATAAAAACATTTCTATAGATAGAGCAAGTTAAATGTCAAGAAATGTTAGTACTCCACAAAACAGAATTCCAGGAACTGCCATATAATACACAATATTGGTGAGCTCCCTAACCTTGAAGCCGAAAAATGAAAAAGAAAAATCAAGCACAAAACTTTATTTTTTTGAGCTATCTCACTCATCTAAACCATGGAAGCTCTCATCCAAGGACGATTGCTTCTCACCAATTGCATCGCACCAGGTGTCAGGGGTACGGAGATGAATATCTTCATTTATCATTCTCTGGTGCCAAATGAAAGGTGAAGCCCTCAAGACTACGGAAAAAGTATCGCTAAGTGTGTGTGTGCACCCTGAAAAAGTATTTAACTTGCACTTTGTTAACCTATTTTTAGTTCCTGCTGTACTCTGACATCACAACACGTTATGAGATGCTCCTCACATGGTCACACGTGATATTGTGTAATTCTCACGGTCACTTTGCACCATGGCTCCATTGGTGATCCAAAGGTGGCCATTGTGGAAGTTCTGTCTGGCACTGGACGTCATTACAACTGTTGGCATACTGCCTTGTAAAGTCGCCAGAATTCATACTGTAGCTTGACATCAAGCTATTGTTGATGTCAGCAGTTGCTCCGCTGGGAAAAATTACTTCAATATCAAAATAAATTATCTTTTCAGTTCAGCGTTCGCTGAGCCTCATACTAGTTTAGATACAAGAAATTTTTTATGGCAGAGTAAATCTAGCTTCGCAAAATAGTGTTGATTTTTTTGAATTTTTAGTAGAGCAGTGCCTCCTGAAACCATATTGGTGTTGTGTGTTAAACATTTTAATAGCACAATGGCTCTGCTATTGATAATCTCTTGTGCTATTGCAGGCACTTCTTTTGGAAAGCCTCATGATAGACAGTTATAGCTTAGCGGGCTTAACGGGATAGCAGGCTTACCGGAATAGCAGGATCAAAATGCATTCATGCAGTATGCTAAGAGACCCAAACATGTACTGTCCACACACAATTTTCCAGATTTAGTGCTACTGTATTTGCGTGGTCTACGCAGTGTATGTAAAACATGGCAATAGTTTTGGATGCCCACTTCGAACGGAATTCAGCATTGGTAGGGATCGATCCACTTCCTTCATAGCTAGCAACTGTGAAAAATAGCTTCACTTGCCTTTAGGTAGCTTCGACGAGTGAGTATTACAGATAACTTAGCCTAGATTTTATTTTTTTTAGACCGCTTTCTATTTCGAACATTCCTAAGCCTAACTAGGAGACCGATGTAAACAAAACTTCAACATAAAGGTTTGCGCTTCTGGTCTGGGGTTCATATTTATTTTATTTTATTATTGCTTAAAAAAAGGAGTAGTATTGCTGCGTGTGGGGATACAAGCAAAAATTTTTAGTTTTTTTCTTTTCAGTCTTTTTAGTTTACTTACCCACTGATAGGTGACACCACCGACCCAGCTTGGGTACGTAATCACTACCCCACCAAAATGTAGTGAGATCTCGGCAGCACATGTTTGCGGCACAGTAACATTATTCCCTTAATAATGCCCACTATCACGCTAACGCAAAACTATAATTGTCTACTATTTCAACATGGGAGAAGGACAGATGTATATCAGTGCATGCTTTTGCTTGCCCTGTTAATGATTAAAAATTACAGCCGATGTCTTTCCAGTCATTGTTGCTTTCTCATATACTTTTCTGATTATCTTGTAATGCACAGAAGATGAAATGTAACTGTTGCATTTCTCTTCCAGACATCAATTTTCAATTCTTTTGGCACAGCATTCCATTTATGTGCTGTAAGAAAGTCTCAAAAAAAAAACACTGTTCTTGCAAACTTTTGAAGCTTTTGGTGAATTCGTGAATATTTTTCAACATTGTAGATTTGCAAAATCTTTTATTCTTTATCCTGTCCAACAATATGACCCATGGCCTTTTTTTGCTAAAGTGTGGATAGCTGCGCCAGTTATTATGGATTCATTGTAGCAAAAAGCAGAAGAAAACGAAATGGACACAGAAGCGGAAGAGATAAAAATGAACGCCAACTTTCCACCGAGATTTTTTTATTGAGAAGAGAAAAATATATACATACAGCAGCCCTATGTACGGTGCATGCACAAGCGAAAGATTTTTTCATGCCCTTTCTTGCTGAACAGCCCAGGCACACTACCATAGCGAATGCTTCTTATTATAGCAAAATACCAAATTCCTTAATCACGTAGCCTCATCAATGCTCTGCTCTGACTCTGCTTGCGACAGTTTAGATATGTGTGCAGCCTCTGCAAGTTCTCGTCCTTTCTCGTTTCTGTGTTTGAACAAAATGGAAGTGACAATAAAAGTGAGCATGTGCCCACACTGGCGGCAATGCGGTGACAAGTGTGAACTTGCCGGACCTTTTAAGGAATTGTGGTGCTCCCTTCACTGCACATTAAGGCACCACCCACGTATGCACAGTGCCACGACAAAAGTATTGAATAAACAACGTTGAATCAGCAAGATACGTAGCTATAGGCATGATTTACATTGCAACCAAACCTTGAAGCGATCCTCTTATTTTTTATGTGGTGATGTTTTCTCAGCGCCATGGTTAACCAAGGTTCATAACATCACAACATTTTGATCGCAGCACCATAAAGCCATCACAAGCATTGCTTCCACTTTATAAGTTGTGCGGCATTGTCTGACGACATGCACGGTAGGCATAGTGAGGACTAAGTCACCCAAAGCATCCCCATCAAACATAACCTGGCGCGACCAGTAAGAAAAACAATGGTACGCTGTGCTAAGCGAGCAGCGGCAACACGTGACAAAGCTCAGATGTACTTGAACTGAGCAGATCACTCGCTCTACTTCCACAGCATACACAGCTCGTAGTGCAAGAATCGCTGTGTCGTGTTTTTCCTTTCTAGGCTTTTTTTAAATCTGTCATTGCGAAGCAAAACAAAGCTAAAGCTCTGTTTATAACTTCTCTGAACATGACGTTTCAGTGATATCACACGTTAGTGCCTATGGCAGCCATTACTGCCACTTGGTCGCTTAAAGAGAGACTAAAGGCAACTATTCAGTCGACGTTGATTGTTGAAATAATGGTTCAGAAACTTCTAAATGTTACTTTTGTGCCAAGGAAGTGCTTATTTTGAAATTAAATCACCTTTTAGTGGTATGCATTGGATTATAGCACTTCAAATTACTCGCCAGACAGTCTCACGTCACTGTTTCTGTGTACAATGTTGCCCAGCTTTACTGCGCAGCCGTTGGCACTAGTAGCAGCAGAACAAAAGCAGTGCGAGCCACAGCAGAAACAACAGCTGCCATTGGCTCCGAGATGGCAGACGTGTTTTGGTTCAACTGGGCCCCGCTAGATGGCATGACCTGTCCAGTGTAACCAAACGAAAGATGAATTTAACTAGTCGCGCCACTTCCCATAGTTACGTTCGGCTGTTCTTTTTTTCATGAATCAAACGGAAACAAACAAGCAGCATTTTATTACGTCTCTGATGCACGAAAAATTATTTATTTAGTATGGCTAGTTAAATTACTAGTGATTAATTGTAGGCAGTTCATTTGATGTCGTCGAGATCATTTTGAGAATGTCCTCTCGTAGCGCATGTGTTGATGAGCATTTAATCTAATTTTTCGGTAAGTAGCGCACTGCTGTTGACAATATTGTCACTTCAGAGGTTGTCGTACATTGAGCTTTCACTCTCACGTAAATTGTTATTTGACTTTATTGTCCCTTTAAGAGCCTAAAAAAAACTGTGATTTCAAACGGTGTCATTAATTATATGCTGGATATTGCGCCAAAATATTTAGGGAACGGCATTCCCAATTCTTATTGAAGCGGGAAAAACTGCTATTGGGCAGCTTAAATTAAGACACTTAGAAAAGACAAATATTGAGAAAAGGCCGCTGAAATGAACCTGAGCTTCTTCAAGAAAATGCAGAAAATTTGCTGCAATTTTATACATACACTGTCTCGCTCACAAACTTTAAAATGTGGCTTCCCAATATGATGTATGCGTTTTGATCTTGCTTCAAAACAAGAAGAGAAACATATATACATACAGCAGCCCTACGTACGGTGCATGCACAAGCGAAAGATTTTTTCATGCCCTTTGTTGCTGAACAGCCCAGTCACACTACCATAGCGAAGGCTTCTTGTTATAGCAAAATACCAAATTCCTTAATCACGTAGCCTCACTAATGCTCTGCTCTGACTCTGCTTGCAACAGTTTAGATATGTGTGCAGCCTCTGCAAGTTCTTGTCCTTTCTCGTTTCTGTGTTTGAACAAAATGGAAGTGGCGCTAAATATGAGCATTTGCCCACACTGGAGGCAACGCGGTGACAAGTGTGAACTTGCCGGACCTTTCAAGGAATTGCGGTGCTTCCTTCACTGCACATTAAGGCACTACCCACGTATGCACAGTGCCACGACAAAAGTATTGAATAAACAAAGTTGAAGCAGCAGGATACGTAGCTATAGGCATACTTTACATTGCAACCAAACCTTGAAGCCATTCCCTTATTTTTTATGTGGCAGTCTATTTTGGTGTACAATCTGCTAAACTTGTTTTGAAGCAAGATCAAAATGCATACATCATAGTGGGAAGCCACATTTTAAAGTTTGTGAGTGAGACAGTGTATGTATAAAATTGCAGCAAATTTTCTGCATATTTCTTGAAGAAGCTCAGGTTCATTTCAGCGGCCTTTTCTCAATATTTGTCTTTTCTAAGTGTCTTAATTTAAGCTGCCCAATAGCAGTTTTTCCCGCTTCAATAAGAATTGGGAATGCCGTTCCCTAAATATTTTGGCGCAATATCCAGCATATAATTAATGACACCGTTTGAAATCACAGTTTTTTTTAGGCTCTTAAAGGGACAATAAAGTCAAATAACAATTTACGTGAGAGTGAAAGCTCAATGTACGACAACCTCTGAAGTGACAATATTGTCAACAGCAGTGCGCTACTTACCGAAAAATTAGATTAAATGCTCATCAACACATGCGCTACGAGAGGACATTCTCAAAATGATCTCGACGACATCAGATGAACTGCCTACAATTAATCACTAGTAATTTACCTAGCCATACTAAATAAATAATTTTCCGTGCATCAGAGACGTAATAAAATGCTGCTTGTTTGTTTCGGTTTAATTATTGGAAAAAAGAACAGCCGGCCGTAACTATGGGAAGAGGCGCGACTAGTTAAATTCATTTTTCGCCTGGTTACACTGGACAGGTCGTGCCATCTAGCGGGGCCCAGTTGAACCAATGATTGATTGATATGTGGGGTTTAACGTCCCAAAACCACTATATGATTATGAGAGACGCCGTAGTGGAGGGCTCTGGAAATTTAGACCATTTAGGGTTCTTTAACGTGCACCCAAATCTGAGCACACGGGCCTACAACATTTCTGCCTCCATCGGAAATGCAGCCGCCGCTGCCGGAATTCGAACCCGCGCCCTGCGGGTCAGCAGCTGAGTACCTTAGCCACTAGACCACCGCGGCGGGGCCCAGTTGAACCAAAACACGTCTGCCATCTCGGAGCCAATGGCAGCTGTTGTTTCTGCTGTGGCTCGCACTGCTTTTGTTCTGCTGCTACTAGTGTCGGCGGCTGCGCAGTAAAGCTGGGCAACATTGTACACAGAAACAGTGACGTGAGACTGTCTGGCGGGTAATTTGAAGTGCTATAATCCAATGCAGACCACTAAAAGGTGATTTAATTTTCAAAATAAGCACTTCTTTGGCACAAAAGTAACATTTAGAGGTTTCTGGACCATTATTTCAACAATCAACGTCGACTGAATAGTTGCCTTTAGTCTCTCTTTAAGCGACCAAGCGGCAGTAATGGCTGCCATAGGCACTAACGTGTGATACCACTGAAACGTCATGGTCAGAGAGGTTATAAACAGAGCATTAGCTTTGTTTTGCTTCGCAATGACAGATTTAAAAAAAGTCTAGAAAGGAAAACACAACACAGCGATTATTGCACTACGAGCTGTGTATGCTGTGGAAGTAGAGCGAGTGATCTGCTCAGTTCAAGTACATCTGAGCTTTGTCACGTGTTGCCGCTGCTCGCTTAGCACAGCGTCCCATTGTTTTTCTTACTGGTCGCGCCAGGTTATGTTTGATGGGGTGCTTTGGGTGACTTAGTCCTCACTATGCCTACTGTGCATGTCGTCAGACAATGCCGCACAACTTATAAAGTAGAAGCAATGCTTGTGATGGCTTTATGGTGCTGCGATCAAAATGGTGTGATGTTATGAACCTTGGTTAACCATGGCGCTGAGAAAACATCACCACATAAAAAATAAGAGGATCGTTTCAAGGTTTGGTTGCAATGTAAATCATGCCTATAGCTACGTATCTTGCTGCTTCAACGTTGTTTATTCAAAACTTTTGTCGTGGAGCCATGTATATGTGGGTGGTGCCTTAATATGCAGTGAAGGGAGCACCACAATTCCTTAAAAGGTCCGGCAAGTTCACACTTGTCACCGCGTTGCCGCCAGTGTGGGCACATGCTCATTTTTATTGCCACTTCCATTTTGTTCAAACACAGAAACGAGAAAGGACGAGAACTTGCAGAGGCTGCACACATATCTAAACTGTCGCAAGCAGAGTCAGAGCAGAGCATTGATGAGGCTACGTGAATAAGGAATTTGGTATCTTGCTATAACAAGAAGCATTTGCTGTGGTAGGGTGCCTGGGCTCTTGAGCAAGAAAAGGCATGAAAAAATCTTTCCTTTGCACATGCACCGAACGTAGGCTGCTGCATGTATATACGTTTCTCTTCTCAATAAAAAAATCTCGGTGGAAAGTTGGTGTTCATTTTTATCTCTTCCGCTTCTGTGTCCATTTCGTTTTCTTCTGCTTTTTGCTACCATGGGACTTTTCTTGCTCATTGCATGGCTCTATGTTAGGGCATTGCCACATTTAGTTAATGAATATGTCGCACACATCATTTGTGTTTGGACATTTTCTGGTGTCACTATACCTAAGAAGCTTCAACACTGATTACAATCCAGACATTTTTCTTCTGGCTATGTATGGCATAAAAAATTTAAGTAGAATGTAGACACTCATTTCAGTCACTTTTACATGTTCTGGCTGTCATCCAAAGTGTTTAAAAGTCACACGCCTATCAGCCTCTCACTGTCAACGTAAGCTGCTACAGTAACGACTTTACAAAATCTGGCAACACTGGCTGGACCAAGTAGAAACAATTGAAAGAAGCTTGCAGAGACGTATGTACCTGTAGGGAAAATAATTTCAGGTGGTTTAGCATCATTTCTTTTTGTTAAAGAAATTCATCTGCTGGGATCCCTGATCCCTGCTATTCCCAGGTGGTTGGCGAAACGCTGTACAACATGCTGCGTCTTGAGGAAGGCCTGGTAGACTCGGAAGACCGGCCACTGCATCCACACAGAATTGTCTCCACACAGGTTGGTTGTAAGCTGACATTTTGATTCAGACAGCATAAGAATAAGACCCGGTTTTTACAGCAGGGATGGGAGTGTTCTGTATAAATATCTCTTCTCTTTGATTGTCAATGATTTCAATGGTTGCCTTGCACTGGATTGCATGTGCTTGTCCACGGCAGACTTGAAGAGAGCACTTCTCATGTGGTGCACTTACTATTACTGCAACTCTATTGTAATTAGGTTTTTGGTTACGATGATGCGATATTGACCAAAGATGCCTGTTGAAGTCCATACATTTCTGCGGGGCCAAACTTTTGTGAAGTTCGCGAATAGAGATTCTGTGGTTGTTCAGAGAAAAATTTTCACCCTTTGGAAATTTTTCTATAAGACACCGTGAGAGCACTTTGTTCACTTTCGCCAGTAGTAGTCGGGTGAAGCTAAGGTCTATTGTGCGGTCAAAGCAGTGAAGATGAAAACGGAAGCAAACGACAAACTTTTGGGGCAGTCCTACTGTGGCTACCCAACTAACAAAAGCATGTTTGCTTGGAAGGGACACAAATCAAAAATGGGATTTTTTGTGTATCACTAAACTAATATTTCACAAAACTGAAAACACCGCTTTTACCACAAGAAGCTACTTTGCAAGCAAGAAAGCACACAAAGAGACAATATGTGTAGCGGAACTACCTTCAAAATACGACACCAAATGCCATGAAGTCACAGATTCTGATAGCATCTACTAGGCTACACGTAGTCTCTAATTAGTCAAAATTAAGTGCATTGTCCACTTAGGGGGCCGTAGACGTGCATATCAATTTTTCTAGAAATTTTGTTCAGCTAATGTCACCAAAATACAAAAATACTCTATGAAACCCGTGACATGACGTGCAGATAATTTGGCATAAAATTTAAAGAATAGGACTTTTAGTTTGATGTTAAGAGATAGGGGGTGCAAACACAGACACAAGAGAGCAGCCAAGCCACTCGTAATTAAACATGAATATACTTACCAACTAGCTTGGCCCTGTTATTCAAAGCTTTACCTTGGTTTTCTGATTTATTAGTAAACATATGATGGTAAAATTAATGTCATTAGAGTTTTAAGAGCAGAATTTGTCAATGAGCCGACCTATTGTTTCACTTTAGTGTCTATAATGTGGCAAATGATTGCGAAGCCTCACACGTGCTTGTTAGTGCGAAGCCTCACAAGCAAATCTCGATTTGCACCACTCAATGCAATCTCTCTCTCATGTTTAGAGCTTCTTGTGTGTCTTCTAGTGGTGAGGTTATGGCATTACATTCCACAAAATGTTCTCATCCTGTGTTGCCTCCTTCTGGATGGGTTCAACGACCGCACTACAATCAGTTGCTGGTGATGCTCGACGATTGGAGACTTTGGTAAGGAAGTCTGTGCAAGAGATTCAGCATTTACTCAAGGCTACATTTGGCGGCATTGCATGAACGCAGACAATCAAGCACATCTTTTCATGTGTCAGCAGCAGTTATAATACGAGAAACCAAGTGCTAGACTAGACCTTTTTGGTTGGCCGAACGAGAAGGCATCTGGCCTTTGAATCCTTGCCCTGCGTTGACCTGAACAGTGAACTAGCAGTTGTCTGCCCAACCGCAGTCTCACCGTGTGCCTTACATCCAACGATTCACTACTAGACCTACAAAAGTGCAGCTCCCTCTCCAGGTTCCTCTAGGTAACTGCCTGGATTTCAAGGTTTGTTTCCGCAAGGGAACCTGCACAAGCATGCGTTTGGTAAGTGGCGTCACCATGGATTCGAACCAACTCGTGAGGGGGGGGGGGGGGGCAAGTCGACGCTAAGTGCTCAGTGCTAGTAATTTTAAGGCCTTTATACAGCCACCTACCACTATCATTGTTCACGTCACCTCACCAATGGCCTGGTGCTCTTTGGCCATCAAATGGCCCTTGTGCCTTAAAATACTACAATCATCATCATCGAGGTTTGTTTTCAATGTCTCCCGAAACCAGCCATTCTTGTCTGTGCCGCTGACATTTTTGGAAATAGACAACACTGAGCAATACTGGCTCAAGTTTGTACAGAAAACCACGTTCCCAGCAAAGGTTGCTACATGTTCCACGGGCCAGCCTTTGCCATGAGGTTCCCGTGTTCTGACCCTGCGTATTGATTAGGATTGGTTGCTCAGAGTTGCAGGCCGCTTACAGGAACGTGATGGAACAAAGGAGCTTAAATCCCAAACTTATTACCAAATGACCTCGTGTTTACGAGGCTCTTTAAATCTGTGACATTTGTCTGTCTTCTACATGCTGGGGTTGAAGATACACTTCTGGAATTCTGATTAAGGTTTTGGATTTCGAAGGACAAACGAACCGTTAAAAGGGTGCTTCAGTCGTGCCTGCCATGCCATCGCCGCCATTTCCTTCCAGCAATGGTCCCATCTGTGCGCTTGCTGAAAGACTGCATAACTTTGGTATTATTATTGTTCGACGTTACGGGAGTATACTTCCGCGACCCACTCCACTGTAGTACTGTTTTACTCAACCGTCGACGAAACTTCATACTACAATTTTCTTCTGGCAGGGACACGGATGGTGCACCTAGAATTAATCTCGGACATGACAGTTCACATTCATGCCTTTCGCTGATTTACGTCTAGGCGGAGCGTTCTATGCACCATTTATTTGGACAACGCCAGCACCTTTCGCAGCCGTTTCAAACAACTGTGATTGCTGTCTAGTGAGACCATACAAACCCATGCAAGTGCCCACCAAATCAATTGGAAGTTCATCACTAAACTAGCTTTGTGGTGGGAAGGTTTCTGGCAGCAAGTCATCTGTACAGTTAAGGGTACACTCAAGCACCGCCTTGGTCAAAGCAGCCTCGGTTACGAAGAGCTGCTCACTGTGCTGGTTGAGGTGGTAGTAATCGTCAGCTGCCACCCTCTGACCCAACTCGTTGAGAACATCGAGGATGCAGAAGGACTAATGCCATCTCGTTTTTTAATCAGCTAGCGTGTTGTGGGACTACCAGCAAAGACAAGCGGAAATTTGTGTAGTTTCACCACGCATATCATGCAAAAGAGGGTTAAATACAGAGATGAGCTTCTGCACTGACGGTGGACACAGTGGCAGAAGTACTATTTACTTCCCCTGCACTGTGCCCATCTCTAGCAGCCGCCGTTTTCGTCACAGCTGCGCGTCGGTGACTTGGTGATTGTTAAGGACGACAGCGTTCTAGCGCTACAGTGGAAGCTCGACAGAGTGGTGAAGTCATTTCTGGTTAGAGACAGCCTTGAGAGGTACTTCAAGATCACGTTCCCGAATGGCCAGCATGTTTGTCGCGCCACTCAACAGTTGCATACGTTTGAGGCAGGCAACTATGCTGTTGCTCCAGGAGGATGTTTAGTCTGTTGTGATAATAAATTGGTGGAAAACGCCATGCTGCACACAAGACGCCCAAAGAAGTGACAGCAGGGCAGGACTATGAGTGAGCATGCAAACAAAAATAAGTTAGCCCCGTATCTGAATGTTTCACTGTAAATGTCGTCGAAATACGATGGTCTTGCGTGTAGAGAGAGTGAATAAAACATTTATTTGATGCTCTGCTCGAAAAACATCGGTGAATTGTATTCTGGAAGCTCTGCGTTGGAGTCTCGATCCATGCTGCGAAGGTGAACGAGCGCATCGAGGCACGTTAAACACGAGCGCTATCTGGCAGTTATCTTCGAAAACAAGGGAAGGCGTGCGCCCCCCCGGAGAAAGATGCGTGCCTGTCTCGGAGGCGATAAGGTGTAGAATGCAAGCGACGGGCACGTGCCACCACCGTGCCGTCTTAGCAAAGCATTGGAAACACTTGCCTTTTTGGGCATCGCGTTGCCCTGTCAGCGCAGCGTGATAAACGCCACGGTCCTTAGAAATACTTATCTGTGCCTTCTCTAGTATTAGAACACATATAAAAAAAAAAAATAACGTGTTGTTATCGTGCCTCAGATATGCGGAATAATTGCTTTTTAATTGACAGTCGCACAAGTATGAACACTGAAACTTGAGCAATATTAGTGGCAGAGTATCGTTACGGCAGACAAACAGACAAATACACAGACAGACAGAAAGACAGACCAAAATTTTGGCGTTGAAGGTCCCCAAGAAAGACTATTGTCTTTAAAAAATGAAGTGTTCATCCAGGGCAACACGTGTGTCAGTCTCGTCTCTGTTTCGACACACAGCAAACTCTAGCTACAACAGCACATACTTCATAGTTGTGTCCGTAGGGTCACCTGCTCTACGTTGCATACACTAACCCAGAAATCTTGCCTGTTTCTGAAGCATGGTCATGATGGAAAACTGAAAAACATTGTTCCACGAGCATGGTTTGTATAATTTTTGGCATAGTTTATGGTACAGCAATTCATATGTGACATTGCAGAGCATTGCTAACAACCCTAGATGGCTCCCTGCTTGTAGGTGGGCTGCTGCACAGAGCATGCCAGAAGCTTTCGTTCACTCCCCCACTGCAGCAGCACCTACATGAAACGTGCAGTGCACGTTTCATGTAGGTGCCATTGACACAATGCTTGATGAAGCATGTGATTTCAGAGGTACCACTGTTTATGAGTTAGTGAAGGCAAAGTAAAATATACATTTGCAGAGTGGACTAAGTGGGCAGGTATCATTGATGATGTTGGCAGAACTTCCAGCCAAACCAGTCGCTCTCGAGTCGACCCTTACGACTCAAGTTACGACACTGCTCGTGTGTGCTTCTATGTTGTCCATGTTGTGTCTTCCACTGTGCAACTGAATTCAAGCATAGAGCAAAAGTGGGACCTTATTTCTTGAACTGCCTCATGAATTCTGCCCTCATTTGGGCCGATTGTGATTTGCAAAGCCCAAGTGGTTGCTCAAGGACTCCACCAGCAAAAATATTTTCTTCTTTAGCTGCTGTTACTTTCTGACCATTCATACTGTTTGTCTTTTGCAGTTGCTCTTAGTTGTGAATATTGTGTACAGGTTCTGGTAAACCCTTTTGATGACATCATTCCCCGCAAGGTGTCGAAGAACTCGGCTGCAGAGCAGCAACCTGCACCGACTTTGTCCACGTCTGTAGCAACCAGGCAAGTGCCTGCCTCTTTGGTTTTAGGACTTTCCTCCCATGCGATCGATTGTAAGCTTGAAAGTGTGTTTGCGTTTCATTGTTCCCATTACAGTTTAAGTTCACTTGCTGTACAAGTATGAGTCACCACTGCAATACCAAGCATCCTACTGCAGCAGCAAAACAGTTCAACTTCAAAGTGCCATATAGTAAGCAAAAGTGCAGAGATATAACAGCAGGGTTTTCACGATTGGTATGTACAAGTGGTAGTTATGGCTCTTGGCAGACAACTACAAATGGGACGCACTAGGCATCAACGATTCATAATAAACTTTGTGGCACGCTTGCAGTGGGACGGCATAGTTGCCCAGTGTAATGAAATGCTTCAGCATGTGGCCATGCCATGCTTCCCAATCTTACTAGGTAAGATTGGGAAGCATGGCATGGCAGCATGGCAGTCTCTTACCCGTAAGAGACCACATCATGACAGTGCTGATGTAGCTGTTTCTGATATACAGTCTGTGATTTATCATTTCACTTGCATACATCTCCACTTGGGAGGCTCCTAAGCAATTCAGAGGTAAAAATTTAGTTGAGATGTTGCAGTTTTATTCTCTGAGCTAACGCATCTGATGATGTAAAGCTAGCTTCGCCCCATGTGTTCTCTCTTTGTGGTGCCAGGAGAATGAGTGGTAAGCTGATTCGACGTCCATTCTTCTTCCCTCTTCTTTTGCCCATGTTCGTTAGCATGGACAAAAGGCCTTTATTGCAAAAAAGATAAGCAATAGCTGATGCCTTCGTGAGACTTGAGATGAAATACTATTGTGTTCAGGCATTCCATTTCTCCTTGAGTTAGCTGTAGGAGTACACATAGTTGAACAAATTGAACACAAATCAAATACCATTCAAAGAGTTGTCGAACAGCAAGGAAAGCATTTACAAAACAGCCGTAGATTTCTAAAACAATTTATTTGAAGCATTAGTAAATGCAGTGAACTGGGAGCGCGGGGGAGCACACACAAGAAACAAAGAGATATACGGCACGAGCGATGTATCCATCTTTGCTTCGTTTGTGTGTTGCCCTGCGCTCTCAGTTCACTGAATGGTTATAAACTACCAACTAGCCCACCGTTCTATCCTGTAGCATTGGTATAGCTTACTGTTGGGCTAGTTGGTGCATGTTACAAGTAAATCAGATGACACAACGCACTGCGAAAGAATAGGCAAAAGGATAGAGCAATAACTTTAATCTTGCAAAACCACCGCAATATATGCACCATTGCACACATGCACACTAACACACAATATGCCATATCGCAGAATGGCACACTTAAAGCACGTGCTAGTTCAAAAAGCTGTCGAAAAATCAAATTCAGGTGAAGGTAGTGGTACAACTGACAGATCACTAATACAGATATTTTTTCTTTTTTTTCTGATGAGGTACGCTTCTAGCATCTCTCACTCACTCACCTCCTGGCTTCTATTTAGAATGGTCGTATCAGTAAATATTGCCTCACATCCACACGTACCACAGTGCACAGGTAAATGTGCCAAGAGATTACCCTTGATCGAAACATTATGCTCTCTTTTACATTTTCTTGTAACATGTAATCTGAAACAAAATGGAGTGGAACCTTCATTATACGTCCTCTAATAACCCGCATTTTTATGATGGCTCACTTTGATCCGGGCAAAACCCTCACAGAAATGACATGGTATTTAAAATCTTGATTATATGTCAAAATTTTACATTAATCGCACATTATATGACATCCATTCAAATATTTTCCAAGAATATAAAAAGAACCTTTACTTACATTTTTATGATGGCTCACTTTGATCCGGGCAAAACCCTCACAGAAATGACATGGTATTTAAAATCTTGATTATATGTCAAAATTTTACATTAATCGCACATTATATGACATCCATTCAAATATTTTCCGAGAATATAAAAAGAACCTTTACTCCAATATAACTCCCACCAGATATTTATGGGAGCAAAAGAAAAACTTACCTATATGCCCCTAAGTTAATGATTAAAAAAAATAGATAAAAGAAAGTGAGACAGCTACTGTACGCCTTCTTGAAACAGGAAATTTATTGTTGTCGCAGTTAATTTCCTTCTGTGATGCAGCTTTTCTGGCTTTCAGATGGATTTTGTAGATACGCCTCGATCGCACCAAGATTGCTACCTAGGCATGCTCATCTTTGATATCCAGTTTCACTTTTTCGGTTTGTGGAAACTTCTCCTGGTTGACATGTAGCCGAGGAGCTTTGTTTGTGGCATGTGCATGCACAGCACAATGTTGTGCTGTGTCAAATGTGTGAGTTGCTCATATTGATTCTGTCTATGGCAGCACGTGAGCGCACTCTGTGTGACTATGTGTTCAGGTGATTAATGAAAATGTTGCAAGAGGATGCTGCGACTCACACCCCCCACTAGCCAACGCAACAACTTGAAATCATGCTTGAAACACCCAGGAACGGCGACTGCGTTTTGAGCGAGTACGTTATGTGGCAGTTGGTGTTCCGGTTCTTTAAGTACTTGCATGGTGTTATTAAAAAGTGCTCTTCAATCAACTAAAGCACCCAGATGAGGCAAGGCGTATACATACATGGCACGTGAATACCACAGCTTGTGCTGGTCAGGTTCCCAAGCACGGCTGTTTTGTATATTCAGGTACCTCAAGAACAGCTTCTGCTGTCACTGTGTGTAAATATGCTTCCCTTGCTAGCAGGAGAGATATGCACAATGATGCTTTACTTTCTTTACTCCGGCATTGGCCGCTGCGTCTGTTGATTTGTATATTGGTTATAGCATCGCGAGTGTGCTTGTGTACGTGTAAATGGACATTACAAAGCTTTTAAACCACAAGCCACCCTCCTCTCCCCCTGGCTACGCAAACTCGTTTTATTTAGCCTTCTTGATTTTAGCCCCCTTTAATCAGGCTGCAAACTTTTTTCACTCTGCACCCATGACACTGCTTTGCCGGACCTGCATGAATATTAGCAGTAAAGTTTAAACTTTTTAAAGGAATTGCTAATTAAAACTGGTATGTCACTAATACTTCGTAGTAATTTTTTAGCAATGCCTAAGTTTAATGGGATTTTATAACTCGTGAACAGATTGATTAGAGGGTGCTAATTAAGTTATAATAAACAACCTAAAAGATGGTCACCATGCAAATGAAGCTGAAATGATTTTTTCGGGGTGACTAGCTTTACCGCTGTTGCAGTTATTTCATATGTGCACTGCTTTTTGTAGCGAGCTGGAGCTAATCTCAACATCAATGCAGTGTGTGTTCCTGCATAAAGATTTCACCAAATTGTTGTTAACCACAAGGAAGAGGTAATGCAAATCTAGCATTTGCAAACAAGCTGTCTTCCGTTTTCTGCGGCTACAAATTCCATTAGTGTCTTGGATTAGAAGATACTATTTTCCAAAGTAATCATTAGCATTTGAAATATGCATGCTTGCTAACCACGAACATCACAGCACTGAGCAAATGAATCTCTTCGGCAAGCGAGTCTAATGTTTGAAAATGTCTCTTTTCTGACTTTGTCTTTTTTAACCACACCCAGAGCTTATCTTACTACAGGTCAGCTTCAATTTGGTGGCATCTTTTTCAGCCAAGGTACCGTATAAACCGGAATATAAGTCGAGATTTTTTCAATAAAATAATAAGCTAAGTCGCCCCTCGTCTTATATAGCGGTGTCTAGCCGACAGTGCAACGCTGTCTGGCAACATATGGCTTACATGTGCTTGTGAAGCCAGACGCGGCCATATCCGCATCCAAATCCAATAGCAGTTTTTTTTTGTGTTCGTGATTTGCTTCTGATCTGTTCCGAGTTTTCGCTCCGCTTGACATTGCGCTGCATTTTTAGTGGCCTTTTTTTTTTTTTTTTTGTTCACTGAATATGTCTAGCGGTGCGAGGAGGCAGTACTCAGCTGCGTTAAGTTCACAGAAGCGAACGGGAATATCGCTGCTCAGCGCCGCTTTGGTGTATCAGAAAAAAGCGTGCGCTATTGGAGGGCGCAGAAAGGGAAGCTGCAGATGTGCAATCCTCAAAAAATGTCGTTTCGTGGACGAAGTGCCGTTCATCCGCAGCTGGAGGATAAGCTAGCGGACTTTGTGCGGGAAGTTCGTGCGCGCTCGCTGCCAGTGACCGTAGATACCATTCGCAAGAAAGCCGTGGAACTCGCTCGGGAAGCTGGGCTCACGAGAGAAGAGCTTCGTGCACCGAACTTACAGTGTACTAGAATAGAGGCAGTGTGCTCACTGCCCTGTCCTTGCGGCGCTCCGCCGTAGCGCACTCTGTGTCGACTTCCACGATGCCCACCAAGGGCGCTGACGCTTGACGCACCTGAAAAACTTCTCTTGGTTCGTGTTGGCCGTGTTGGCGGACGGGGCTGGTTCGCTCAGTTCAGTTCGATCGGTTCGATTGGATCAACGTGGGTACCCCGTGTGCGTGTTCTGTGCTTTATGCTTGGATCATTGTGTAGTATGTGTTCGTGAAGATGCCTAACCGCCGTCGAAATTACTGTTTTGCGCCCGGTTGTCGAACCGGGTACAGTCGTGTGCAGGATGCACCACAGGCGTCTTTGTTCAGCGTCCCGCGTGATGAAGAACGGCGGAAGGAGTGGGAAAGAAATCTCCACCGTGCAGATAAGAAGCTGGATGAGTTTTCTGCGGTCTGTGAACTGCATTTCTAACCGAGGTTCATTATCAAGGAGTTCGTGCACCATATAGATGGCAAAGAGGTACGCATTCCTCGTGATAAACCGATGCTGTCGGAAAACTCCGTCCCCACGATTCTTCCAAATTTGCCGCAGTACCTCACGAAGAAGATGCCAAAACCAAGAGCTAAAAGGAAGATGTGCGAAAATGACCATGCAGCCGCAAAGAAAAAGAGCCGAAGTGCTCTCGAGACTGACTGTACTGAATTTCCACGGGATGCTATTGGTGATTCAGGGGAGGACTGCGACTTCACACAGGATGACGTTCCAGCGGAGCCCG